ACAGAAGATTCTGAAAGGTTTAGTACAAGGTCAAAGGTTCCAAAGAACTGCTTTAAAGACTTAGTGGCTATGGCATGTTTTTATTAGCATCAGCCAGGGTCATTGGTAGACAGAAGTAAGTAGGTGGATACAGAAACAGAGTGGTTAAATAGGGAACCTACAAGTGGGTTTCAGGTATGGCAGCTAATGTAGAACCTTTAGGCAGACTACTTAAATTAGACAATAACTAAAATTATACAAATGGCTAGTTGTATACTCTCTTTATAGTTGTTCCCTGTGGTTGTAAAGTAATCATTAGCCAAATATACTATTAATAAAATTCTGGGTCTCAAGTACTCATCTTAATATTTAAAAAAAAAAAAAAAATAGTTTTAAACTAGTTGAAGTCTTTAGAAGTATTATGTTTTGGATATTTGCTTTTTGATTAAGTTGTTTATTATTAGTATTCTGTTTATTGTTATTTGAAGTTTTTTTTGTATCAGAATTATTGTCTAATTGTATGTTAGTATTTTTAGTCTTTTTAAAAAGTTTATTTAGAAATTTTTTAAAGAAAATATACTTATTTTTTGTAATTAATTGTAACTATTTAATTTTGTAATAAAGACCACATTATTCATAGTTTATAAGACTTGTAAATTTGGCTAGCTTTAGTTTAAGTTTGTAGATATATTAAGAGTGAGCTGAAAAGCCACTTACTTTAGTTTTAAATATAAGAGTTTTTAGATCTAATGAGTGTTTATTATCGATTAGTATAATACAAAATATATCTTTGGTTTTATAAATAATACATGTATATATATAATAAGAAAAAATATAAAAGAAGATTTGATTATTGGTATCTTGTCTAATATTGCTATAACAGTTGGGGAATAGATAGATGATATTATGTTTAGATTAAAAAAATAACTTTGGTATATTATAAAAAGATTTGTAAAATTTAATATCAAGATTAATTTTTATTGAATTAGATGACTCAGTTGTAGTTGTAAAGGTGGTATCAAAGATAGATAACAAAAATAAATGCTATAAGACAAAGTATTGTGATATTTTTTACAAAAACATTTTGTAATAATATGTTGAATAGAACTGAAGAAAAAATGGTAGCCATTGTGGGTATCACATATTGTAGAGTTGAAATTAAACAGAAAGATTTTAAAATTTTTACAGTTTTTGTTTAAAATAACTAAAGTTTGATTACAATATTTATTTCAAAGAATATCTAGGTTGAAGAAGTTTGATTCGATAGTAATAATATTAAGTATTTTGTATAACTAGTCTAATAAGATGTTTGTACTAATATAAAATGATTTTCAAATCAGATTGAATAATCTAATTTTCAGATAAAATTTGCTAATTTGAAGACTTTACAAATAAGTAAGAAAATATCTAAAAGATGTAAAACTTTTAGAAAGGCTAGTTGAATGTTTATAAAATTTTTAATAAATACTAGAAAAGTGAATTTTCTGGATTAATATAATGAAATTTCATAAATTTATCAATTAAATAACTTACAAAAACAAGGTTTAGTTTTTTTTTTTTAATATCTTAGTAAGTTTTAGTTTGTTTATAATAAAATATATATCAATATAACTGAAACAGAGAGTTTGTTATTTTTTTAATAGGTAACAAGATATATTTAATTAGTAAAATATATAGCAAATAAGCAAAAACTAATAGTTTGGTTTTAAAACTTTTCTTAGTTACTAAGTGTTGCAGAAATATAAAACTTGACCACCTAGAAGAAGAAATGTAAGCTAAACAATTTTACTTAAAATTACAAATAGGTTTTATTTAATAAAATATTTAGAAATAATTAAATATTTTTGACAAAAATTTGAATATAAGTAATTTATGAAAAGAGTTACAGAATTGGTCTAAAAAATATTTCTATTTATGAAATAAAAAAATTTAATATTACAATTAAAATTAGTAATCTATATAATGTAACCAAAATTTTGTGTTTGTAGTTATTAACTAATCAAAATTGAGGATCTGTTATAACAATTTTGTTTAAAGAAATCTGATTAGTGGTTTTATTTAAATTATTATTTAAAAATACTTATGTACTTGCTATTATAATATATATAATTGTTATTAGAACTAAAAAAAATATATAAAATGCTTATTTTAAGAATTTTTAATTTGGATAATTTCAAATTAGATTAGTCAGGTCAGGTTTGGTTTAGGTTAATGTTCAACACAAACTGATCTAAAATTTTTGAATTAGATTTTTCTAACCTGAACCTGACCTGAACCTAAATTTTAGATCAGGTTTCAAATTAACCTAACCTAATTTAAAGTACTAGTTTCTAGTGTATCCTAAATTAAAATACAATATAACATAAAATATCTACAGTCCACCCTAATCAAATAACTAGTGTAATTCAAAATTCAATAAGTCTGTTGCTGAACTAAACCAACTCTCATATAACTTACAGCATCTAAGTTGAAATAAGCATGTTAGATTTGACTGATGGTTTTATTCACAGGTAAGTACTGGTCTTCTCTTTAAGTCTTCATAGCTTCGGAGAGTCATTTTCATAGCAAAGATCCCATATAATCTGCAGATCATGTAAACAAACGTTACGAAACTTTAAAGAGTCATTGCGGGTGAACACTAGGGCATTTTAGATGATTTTACCATCATTAGAATCGTTTCGACTTGAAGAATAACTTTTATTAAACATTCCTTTCAAATTTTAATAAGACTTTTGACTTTAGATATGAATTTCGAATTTTGATATGACTTTCGAATTTCGATGACTTTTGAATTTCGATACGAGTTTCGATATGAGTTTCGAGTTTCGATATGAGTTTCGAGTTTCGATACAAGTTTCGAAAATAAAATTTTGTCGAAACTAGTTTCGAGACAGTTTCGATATCGATGCTCTCGAAAGTTTCGAGTTTCGAAAGTCATCATTAGACTTGGGACGGGGTACTAATCTACAATCCAACACTGGTTGCACTCATTCATCATAAGCAAATATCGCTTCCTTTTTTAGCATTGTTCGGGGTGCTACAAAAGTCACAAGGATTGATCATCCAATCAGATTCAAGATTTGTACACACGTACGTTGTACAAACTCCGTTCCCGGTATTGGAAATCCGTATAGTCAGTTAACTATCCATATCATTCAACGGATGACATCAAACTACGTAACTTAAATTCGGTCATTTGTGCAGATTCAATAGTTTATCTGCATATATTTTTTCATATAAACCAAAAGCTTATGTACCTAATCATTGATACTATAAATTTGAATAAAATTAATATCCAATTATAGCATGTTTATTAAAGTATGACCATATATCTCAATTTAAACTTCATTATGTCTGTATAGCAATTTATAAATATTTGTGGTATTTTATTCTTTTGTTCAATTAATCGTTGTGTAGTTGTATAAAATGTCAGGTGATAGGATTCTCCGGTCAGGTTATATTCGGAAGGTATAAATTTGTTTGTTTTATGATGCATCTTTTTATTTCTATTTTTTCGGAATTCTGCTAGAATAATCTTGTAATCTAGAAACATGCACTACGAATTAATATAAAATCCCTAATGCATAGACTTTTCTAGAAGTTATAAACAGAAGGACATGATTAACATTATATTACTAATTTTGTGTTTGTAATAAATTTTATATGTATGTTACGTAAATTGTTTATCAAAGTCAATTTTAGATGCGTAAATCAACCGCTAATTAAGCTTTAATAAGTTAGTATTTTTAAACTATTCTAAATTAGCATATATGACATTATGAGGATGAATATGACGAAAGAAAACCATCAAATGCATACTTTGTGTTACATTAACGTGTATGCTGGTTGTAGGGTGTCAAGGATTATGCGAAAGCATAATATGCGCATAATTTACCAATTTTTTGCATCGCATATGCTTCGCATAATTAAGGAAGATGTATTTGACAGGTGAAATTTCCGAAAATTTCCGATGAATAAAGTCCGAAATATTCAGTAGATTTCGCATAATTAACAAAATCAAATAGCATTGACATTAATTACATAGGATTAACCAGTTTAATTTCATGATTTTGTAGAAATTTTGCAAATATACTTTCATGTAAAATTTTGTTAAATTCGGATTTTTTGATTTTTGGAATATATTAAGTATAAGTAAGTATTCGACTAAAACTGAATATCAAATTCGAATTCGAATTGAATTCTTAACATAATTATTTTTTTGTTATTAACAAAAATACGTGTTATGAACGACTAAATACATTGTTATTGTCTTTATAATACATATCTTGTATATTAAGCACTATAATGAGATTTTATGAAACGTCTAAGAATAATGTTAATTCCATGTTTGTATCAGTATATTAAAAAACAAAGATAAAAAATGAACAAATAGACTATTTTTGTTCATCTAAAAATACTGGCTTAAGGTTTGATAAACGTTTATAGAAACATAAAGAATGATTAATTTATGGACTTTTAATATGTGCAACATAAGGTAAAGTTATAATTATATAAATTATCATTGTACGGCTCAAAAATATTTATTTCAGCTCGTTCAATAAATTAAACCCATTTTTAATTTGAGAACACCGATAGAATCACTCCGAACTTATGGAATATCACAGATTACCACATTTGTCGAATGAGAACAAAGACCAAGGAAAATCTTTTAAGTATATTGCTGAATTTGGATTTATTCAATTCTAGTAAATGTATATCTTCCTTTCTTTGCTAGGGCTGTGTAATGTAACACATGATTATGATTCTACAATATCCGAAATTAAGAAACTCATTGAGGAAATTTCCATGATTTTTCATAAAGCCCTGTATTACAAATAATCCGACCGAAACATGCAAAGTTTTACAAAGTCCATTCAAAATTTTTTTTTTATAAATATACAAGATTTAACATGAACAAAAATTAGAAAAAATCAAAAGTTTTTTGAGTAAAAATCTCGGCTTATATATTAATATAAATCTGTTTACGTTAGAATTTAAAGCACAATCAAGTGTACTAGAAAATGGCATATGAAAAGCCTACAAGAGATTCAAAACCCAAAAAAACATGGATCCAAATATTACAATCTAATATAAACAAACAGAACATGAAGACAATTCAGGATTTCCTGGTTTTTTCAACTACTAAAATTCCATCTACTGTCCCAGAATTTATGTCAATATATACCATTAAAGATGACAAATGGGGAAAAGAAGCAGAATTAAGCTTAGTGCAAAATATATTCTCGCAAATAAATTATCATTGCAGAGAATTTAAAGAAGGGGAAACAATAATAGATATGTTTTATTTATCTGAAGGAATTTATAGGCATTCCTTAATAGTCCCTGAAAATTATTATGATATGATCTCCGTGGCAAAAAAATGGCATGAAGCATTTAGAGAACAATATCTTACACCAGGGAGGGAAAAATCTAGTAAAGATGATACTATTTATGATTATAAAAAGAAATTCGAATATTGGATAAGCGAAGAGATTAAAAGAGTTGGTCAATTTTGCGATGAATGTGAAAGATTAAATGTGATTTTTAAACAATTTGCCCTAACTATAAAAGATGATTGGGAATCCGAATTAAAACCTATTATACATAGAATTGAAAAGAAATTCCAGAAATCTAGTAAGAGCCGTAAGTAACTTACAAAGAATATTAAAAGCCATTTTTCGGTATATGAAATGCAATTTATGAAAAATAATTTATTTATATTATTTTATTTTATTTTTATTTTTTTTAGGGAAAAATTATCCTAAACAATTACAACAAAAAATAAATGATCTCGCACTATCTATTTCAGATTCTTCTCTTGCTTTACAGCCAATAAGTGGTAAATAAAAAGGGTTCATTTTTCCTATTTTCTTCAGCCAAAAGTTTTATTAACATAATTTTTGTTCATTTCAGAAAAATGGAAAACATTTAGTAATGATTTAGAAAACATAAAAGCTACATTAGAAAAAATTAGTGAACCAAGATGTCTGCTGCCAACAAGAAAAATTTATCTAGAGAATATAAAAAACAAGTGGAAAAGATTAAATAATTTAGCTTTGGAACTTTATAGTTTATTATATTATTTCGAACTAGAAAAAAGAGACTAAAAATTTGTATTTTTTGATGTAAATTGTTTACAATATAATATTTACTAATAATCATAATATATAAATGAATAATTTAATTTTATTTTATATATAGAATATTTAAAAGCAAAATTATATTCCAAATGACTATTATTCGTATAAAAGTTGGTTAACCTCAAAGCAAATTTATATACCGATTTCTATTTTTTAATTGTTTTATATTATTAAAACGGATAATGAAAACTTGGCTACTAAAAATGTAAATATAAATAATAAAGCTTTTTCATATATATATATTATGTCAAAATACACTTTATTAACAATGGTTGATGAGTTTCCACATTGAATACCTGTAGAATTCAAAGAATTGGTTTTACAATTAAAATCTTGATCCGTTTACACTCACACTTAAAAAGTCTTCGTAATTCCTATAAAATTTCTAAATATAAATACAATATTAATAGTAACATTTTGCTCGAATAAGCTATTAAACTTTAATAAAGCAATGATAACAAATATTTTATCTAACATTAATTTTCTTTGATTTATTTATGAGAATTATAATTTAAAGTTACAATTTCAAACAAGGTACAACTTCTAGTACAAATTAATTCCAAACGAGACACAACTTCAATTTTTAGAATGCGATTCCAAATAATAATCACATTAAGAACGGCAGATTTTTTATTTCCTTTTGAATTTTTAAAAGAGTCTTTATGTAAAATAAAATACCAAAAAAATCTTTCATAAAATTAACAATACGACTGTTTAAATAATAATGTCTGACAATTTTTTTTTTTTTAGAAAATTTTTAAAAAAACTTTTCGGTAAATTACTTAATTTTTGAAAAGACAGCAGAAAAAAATAATATTGTTAGGAGAAAAATTAACGCCAAAACCTGCATATAATCATATGCAGACGTTAAATAATGCTACAAATTCCTAGATAGGATGTGTATTATGATATAATTGCCCGCATAAGTAAATTAAAAATTGCTAAATAGAATCTTAATGATAAGTGTGATTACCTATAAATCAACTATAAACCAAAATTATTGAATTTATTAAGCATGTTTAAGCTTATTAGTGAATCATATAATTCATCCAAAATCTGATTGAAGTTCGTTGAAAAAACGACCGATTTCTAGACAGGTTTCGGGTTATTATGAATACTTGAATGAATATGTATAACGGTCTTAACAAATAATAAAGATAGCTACCTGGAGTAGAATCCAGAATGACTCTAGGATCTAGATTTTTATTGGAAGAATATTTAAATCAGTCAAGTGAAATTCAAACAAATGTATATCTAAATTTGTTTAAAAAGCAGATCTTTGAAACAAATTTAGTATTTAAATAAATGTTCGATATTTTTAAAACAATGTTTTAGAAATAGTTCATTTTTTAATACTTCACTAAACATGAACATAGAAATATAAAAAAAATGGTCAAAATTATGTTTGGAACCATTTTTCTTACTTATGCCGCCTTGAAAATTTGGCCCGGTTCCAATGTTGATCCTAAAACATAAAAGCTAAAAAATCAGACTAAAATAATGATAAAAATTAACTAATGAAATGAAACATACATTCTCTGAAAATTTCTTCTTTCTTCTTCAAGATCTAATTTCTGTTGCGCAAGAAGGTCTACCTGGCCTACAAGTTGAGCAATTCTCAACTCGTAATGTTTTACTTGATCTTTGAGGTCCTTCAATTCCTTCTTTTTGCGCTGGTAGTAATCACGGTTGATTTCACTACGAGGCTTGCGAGACTTTTGAGAAGTCTTAGCCATAATTTCGTAAGAGAATAAGTGTAACGAATTATTATAAAGAAATTTATATTATAAATTAACAATCTTAAGACATCTCATCTTTCTTATTTTAAAGGACTGGTGGTACATGAATGTTATTAATTAACATTGCGATGTTACAATGTATTTTTTCGTGAAACTGAAGATCATTGAATTCTTGATCGAGCCAATTGTTACTAAAGTTGTGTATTGACTAGAGATGTGATATAGTTGTTACAACGTACGGTTACGATTACAACTCGTTTATTGAAGATTAAAGCAAATCGTTGAATACAGTAACTCGACGGTTTGCTTCGGGAAATATCGATTACAATCCTGCTTTTTAAAGTAAAATTTAAATATATATGTGCTTTATATTGATAGACTGGGTTCTTCACAAAAGTTCTTATACACGGTTCATAGGCTGAAATTCGTCTGATTGGCTAGCTTCGTAGATCAATTGGTAGATCTACATATATTTATTAGCCAATCAAATCACACAACTTGTAATTCGTTATTTATATTATTACGGTACTAGAAACGAAAACTTCAAGAAAAAATTTCATATAAGTCGATAAATACACATGATTTATTGGATTATATACGTATAAAATATAAAAGAATATAGAGTAAGGCAAAAAATGATGTACGCTATTAAACAAAAACCGAATTACTAAGCCTATTATTGGTCATCTCATTAAGTGTGATACACCAACTTGATACATTTGAATTAAAATGTAATTATACAAAATTTTACATA